CGTTGGGGGGATTACACTTACAAATAGAGAAGACAGGTCTAAGTGGTGACTTGGAACCAAACACAGTTCAAATATATAAATCCTGTGCCCAAGCACAATTAGTCCGCTGGCACACCCTGCTGCGCTGCTTTTTGTCACGAGCGACAATCGGGTTACCTGCCGCTGTAATAGGGGAACTCTTTTTCCCAGCAACCATTAAATATCCTTTAACCTGAGATTAAAAAGCAAGCGGCTGCAGTTTGCCTGGTGCTTTGACTCCCCTTTGCTGAGTTAATTAGCCGTGACTGTGTCAAAGGGTTTCAGGTGTTGATTATTCTGCAAGAGCACCTACAATATCTAAATAGCTGGCCTAAAACAGGGATGCGATTTTAAATGGGGCATCTTTTTTTCTTCTTTATCGGAAAATTTCTTGTCCTGTATTTTTGTTGAACAGCAGCACATTGAAATGCAGTTATTCTGCAGATAATGTGTACATTATTATACTGTACATATAGATTATGTGGGAAAAATCTCCTTTGTTAAATGTCCCGAGGCTACAACTGTTCATGACTCTACTTTCACAACAACTGCCTTGAAACGTTGCCAGATCACTGTCATTTATCAAAGCTCAGCTACGGTAAACAAGAAGAAGTATTGTTCCCAAGTTTTCTTCTTCTACAGTAAAATAATGTCCCAAAATCTCTTTTTTTATGTTAGTGCCTTTATTTCTCATATTCTAAAAATTTAACCACCTTGTTGTAAATTCATTTTGATTATTCGAAAAGGAATGCATGTTACCCAGGTGTGTACATTTGAAAGGCACATCAAGAACATGGCAGCTAATCTGGAAGATTTTCATTTGATCAGTATATGAATTGTTCTTGCTGAATTCTAGCAAATTATAGTCATTTCTTGGACTTGTTCTTAAGTTGTTTTTTTTTTTGTTTTGTTTTGGGTTTTTTTTTTTTATCTATTCATTATAATTCTTATCAGCCATACCAAACAATGAAGAAAATGTCCTTTCTCTGACCTGGTCCAAGAGAGCATTTTTCTTAATAATAAAAGATTACACAAGATATGCTCAATTCTAGGTGTGCAGACAAGTTGAAACCCCTAGATAACACTCCCTAAAAGCTAGAACAGGAGCCTCAAGCAGGGTTACCCGTCCTTGTCTTTGGCACAATCATAAAGACTCAACACACAAGGATTTCTGTTGACTTACACAGTATTGATTCATACTTTAGTGCATTATATAAAACTGTTCTAACTGCACGTGAATCAAAACAAGGTCACCTTGGGTTTTTATAATGGTAGCTATTTTTCTTTTTACCATAATACTTAATTCTGACATTTTTAACTCTTGACAAGTGCTGTCTGGAGGCTTATCCATAAATAATGCATTTACAATACCTAGTAAATAAACATGGGGCACAATCGTTAGCCCTGCTGGCAACTGGGCCTAATAGAGCTTTTACAGCAAAGGTGACTATTCAGCTAAATGCAGTGCTCACTGCTGGGAGGACATTTTCATTCATTAGCACAGTCACAAGCACTTAAAGCACTTTAAGGGATCCAAGATGGAGAGTAAAGATAGAAGGATGGAGAGGGTGAAAGGGTAAAAATATATAGAGATGGAGGGATGGAGGAATTACACCTATAATATTGAGCAATGTCTCTATTGTTGCAGGGTTTATTGGGCATTGTGGTGAATCAGGAAATGTGCCTCATAATGCTGTTAAAGGAAGCCATGATGGTAATGGAAGACATCAGAAATATCACTGTCCATTAATATAGGCCGTTCCATGTCTGCTTGTTCTTGCCTAAAGGTCAATTTGGTTTTTAAGTAACAATAATAGTATTAAGGCTGGGGCTGCACAGTGGGTAGCACTGTTGTCTAGCAGCAAGAAGGTCCTGGGTTCGATTCCCGGCCCAGGGTCTTTCTGCATGGTTTTGCATGTTCTACCTGTGCGTGTGTGAGTTCTTTCTGGGTACTCTGGCTTCCTCCCACAGTCTAAAAACTTGACTGTCAGGTTAATTGGTCTTTCTAAAATTTCCCAAGGTGTGTGTGCATGGTTGTTTGTCCTGTCTGTTTCTGTGTTGACCTGCGACACACTGGCGACCTGTCCAAGGTGACCCCACCTCTCGCTAGGAACGATAGCTGGAGATAGGCACCAACACCTCCCAACCCCACCAGGGACAAGGGTGTAGGAAAATGGATGGATGGATGGATGGATGGATGGATGGATGGATGGATGATGGATGGATGGATGGATGGATGGATGATGGATGGATGGATGGATGGATGGATGGATGGATGGATGGGATGGATGGATGGATGGATGGATGGATGGATGGATGGATGGATGGATGGATGGATGGAGTATTAAGGCCTAATTTAATTTTGCTCAAGTAGTATTGTCTGAAGAAGAAAAAGTGTGTTATTTGCAGCAAATTACACATAAAAAGTAAAAAAAAAATATCACAAAAATCACAGGAAGATCTGGAAATATAGTTCAACTTGCTCAGAACGTCTAAAAGAAGTTCAAGCTAAGCTTCAGTTTCTAAAATACTTTCACTGGGTTTTAGAATTTGTTAGTAGGATTATTACAAGGAAAAGGCATTCTTTTCTCCGCTTTAAGTCCAGAACCATTTTAACCTTCCCAAAAAATAAAAGAAAAAAAGAATCAAACAGAGGAAGAATCGTAGCAGATGGTGAAGAGTCTCAGGGCTTCTGTGAATCCTGAACAGACAAGCACTGAACAGCAGAATGAGACACAACAGCTGATATGCTTAAAAAAAGTGTTAAATTCATCGTCTTTAGTTGCTTATGACACATTAGACATATCGACAAGAGATCGTTCTTCCATGCCCTTTAATTGGTTAATCCAGCCCTTTTCATTTCCAATAGTGTCCCTCTCCATAGACAAAGACACGAGATTATATCTCCAAGGTTGCTGTTAACTTCTTTGGGAGGCAGTTTGTAAGAGTCTGCCTCCCACCATTTTACAGTAATCACTGATCATCACCACAGAAGCTTCCTCAAGGGCTCTCAAGAACAGAGCGACTCTCAGTTCTCTCGGCACGGGGACGGCATGCTGAACTTCGTATGGCTCTTGTCTTCTGCTGGGTTCCCTGCACGAAAACTAATTTGCTTTAACAAGGGAGTGTATTTTTGTGCCCGAGACACAAGGCGCATGAGGCAGACCACGGTGCTATTATTAACAGGAGATTCAAACAGCTGTATGGCAGTCCGAAGCACCCTCTCCTCTCCGCGCTAACATACGGCCCTGGATTACAGCCTGCACTTGACCATTTAAATTACTGCAACAACCAGCCTTCAGCAGATGGGGCTCATTTCCATAATGTCCACTGTCGCCACCGAGAGCACTGATGATGCCGTTGCGAAAAATCCTTCCACAAATAACAAAATAGTCATTAAATTCAAACTAAACTTGAAAAAAAGTAAATTTAGCATCATATACTAGATGCACAGAACTATTATTGCAATATATAAATTATGGTGTAATACATATAGCATCTACAATAAACATGTAAGCAAAGTAAATTAATCTCGTTTTGAAATGACCTAACCTGATCCCTTATATTTATTTTCTTTACTTCCTTACCAATTTCTTAAGATTATCAGTAAAAAAAAATGTCTAAACTTTCTGATAAAATTTAAATATTAAAGTATGAATAAAAAAAATATGTATTTAATAACACAGTTTTTTGTTTTTGACATCCCAAGAAAAAATTTATTTTCTACATTCAAACATTTTCATCTGCATTTGATCCAAATATAAATGGGACATTTCTTCATTTTTTCAGTGTGACATCATGCTACCGAAATGGAGAACTAATTTATTTTAAGATTTTTTTTTTCTTTTTATATGAAGTGCTGATCATTTTTAGGTAGCCACGGGTCTCTCGAATTAAAAACACGCCCGCAAGAGTTCCACATGGGAATATGCATTGAAAGCAAATCTGCCATCAAAATGACAAGTATTCGATGATGAGGAACTGAAGTTGTATATGGTCATTTGAATCAATTTTCAGAAACAATACGTTAAATTTCAACAAAATAAATTGTGTTTATTTTTTCACTGTGGAGCCCAGGCTGATTGCGTTGTCAACAACACAAACAATCAGTCATTGGAGGGTGTGGCGGCATAATTATCTGGTGAGAGGTCTGTGATGCTCTGTTACAAAGATCGCCACATGCATACTTAAAAAAAGAAGTGGCAAATTATTTTTAGGCTAACAGAGGTCTAATTTATTCATCTGATGAAGTGCTTAAGCTAAGAGCTCCCCAGACACTAAATGAGACACATGCGTTCCCAAGGGGGTTTAACATTTGATTGGATGTAGTTATATTACTACAGCCTTAATTAAGAAGGGGGATGTGTTTCAGAAGCTCTTTCAAATATTTGTTTTTCCGCCATTCTCTTGATAGACTCCAGGCTGTAGGAGGGAGAGCCAAGAAGGGTGAAACGGGCGGAGATACGACAGAGAACTCACTATCTTATTACTGGAGAGGATTTCTTGTTCTCACTGTCGCTGCTTGCTTTGAAAAAAAAAAAAAAAAAAAAAAGAAAAAGGTGAACTAATTAGTCACATTAATCGGGTGAGATCTTTGAAAAAGGTCCTGGGCTATTTGAGGGAAGTTACCTTTCATGTATGCTCAAAGTGAAAAGTGTTCTGTGCATCAAAAAAAAAAAAAAGAGGTAATGTTCCTGGCATCAGGTCAGCACTCTGAGTTTTATAGTCAAAGAGTTTTTCTTGGCATGAAAGAGGACCACACTTATGCCGAGGTGTGCTGCCACACAGTCTTTGTCATATTGGAAGAGGTTCAGAACAAAGTGGAAATACTGTAGCGTCATTGATCCCAACCTGTGTGAGTGTGTGAGGTGGAGAGGAAAAAGAGAGAGGACGCAGACAGTCGGTGAATATTTGGAAAGAGTGGGATTAGATGGTAGGAACAAGGTCTTCCTAGACTCTCACACTCACACAGGGAGACATACCATCTTGCTCTGTCTTTGTCATCTCCTCCAGCTTCTTTTGCTTCAGCGAGTCCACAACGTCTGCCAGGCTTCCTTTGCGGCGCTCCGGAGTCCCGAATGCTGATCCGCTCAGCATGTCACTCCGCTCCCGGGCCCCCTCCTCAGGTTTGTGTGGAGAAGTGGAAGTGTTCCGGAAGGAGTACAGGGAACATACTTTATTGCTGTCAGGTTCCTATAAGACAAAAAAAAAAAATAAAAAGTCAGGAGAGGAGGTGAGAGGAGGGATATGTGTTTAATGATAAGCCTTTTGCGCTACTCTCATAGCTTTTTGAGCTTTTAGACCGTTTTTTCATTCACATGTCGTGATTGATGGAGATATTTGAGCTTTGGGATGATTTGGCCACATCAAATGGCTCAACTCTGCCTTTTATGCACGAGCTTCTGTATTTTCAACAGGGCAACCTATTCTGGTAAATAAGACGTGACAAGTGAAAAATTGAGATGAAATGATAAAGTATCTTTTCATAGAGCCAATCCATAAGGCTTTACTATTCATCTGCACTGTCTATACAGTGAAATCTTCAAACTAAATTGCTGTTTGAGTGCATTTGTGTAAAGATGACTGCTGTGTAATTTGCTCATTTTCTAGAAAAGGACTGTTCTTAGCTGAGTGCCTGAACCATTCGTAAATCTGCGTCCTGTCTCGGGCTGTTGTTGTTTTTCTGTCCCACCTGTGTATGGTTTAGTATTTAACCAGGGGTTCCATCTCTGGCTGACTGGCTGAGTGCTCCCTGTGCACAAACAGAGACACGAAGAAAAGGGGGGGAAAGAATGAGGGAGAATACTTTGGGAGTGCGTAGTCGGCACACAGACCATGGCTGAGGCCTGCGTTTGACAGAAGGTAGTGTTAATTATGGTTTCTGGAGTCTGAGAAAGCAGAAGGTAGCTGTGCAGCCAGAAGTTGGAGCCTTTAACTGGGGAACAGTTATCTCTGATTTAAACTTTGGCCCGTGTGCCGAAGAGAATAAACACAGCAGACATCTGTATCAAACACATGCTGCACATTTATCATAGAAATGTGTGATAACATGGGATATTACAGCTGTTACTGAAGGATACAACGTCGAAAGCCAGACAATCCCAAATAAAGACGGCCAGGAATGCAGAAAAATGGGCCATTATGTGCCAAAATCTCATCCCTATGTGGTATGTTGAGCAAAGGAGCACAGGGCGGTTTGGTACCAAGCGGGAGAGTGGCACGGCCGTGGCACAGCACCTCCCAGGGCTGAGCTGAATGGCTATGCAGCCTAGCAGAGACAGTGGAGAGCGCTTGAGGGGAGTGGAGAAGTGCTGGGTTAATCAGCTGGCATGGGTTCAGGGCACAGCCCACACAGACGCATGGCACTGCAATGGAGCCAGGTAATCAGCAAAGGCAACTCTTGTTCCTTCCACCTCAAGGCTTCACCTCTCCTTTTTCTCATGCTCTCGCTGGAGCTCTCTGTTTTGCTCATTTTGTCTCATGCTGTTTTTTGTCTTTTCATTCTGGTATTTCTTAGTTTAATCCACAAACAATAAAAACATAACAATAAAAGTGTCAAAATAAGGGAAAAGAAATTGTGAGGTTTTATAACTGGGAACTAAAATGTATTCTTACCTTGAATAACCTCTGCAGATGATTTTTAAGTTCACTCCCTTAATATATTACAGAATAATGCCAAAGTTGTCCAAAATAAACAAAATCTGCAAAGCTGCATCCAACATCTATCAACGGCCGAAGACTCCCCACGTAATGTTACGATCCGTACCTCTTTTTCTGTTCCTTCTTCTTTCCTCAACATAGGAAGTAATATTGTTTCAGTGCTTCTGTGTTTTTGTATTGTCTCTGTTCTGACCCAACAAAATTTGAGTCTGTCTCAGTAGATGGACGCTCATGCAGAGCCAGATTCTGCTGGAGGTTTCTTAGAGTTAAAAGGAAGTTTTCTCTCTTCACTGTCACTACATGCTTGCATGGGACAACAGATTGCTGTGAAGTCGACCAAGGCATGCATTTGCCTGAGCGTCTATGGATGAGCAATGTTTTACCACTTGCAGATACAACATCAACTGACTAATGAAATTATGGTGAAATTGCTCTGTGTGAAGCTATGCACCTGGATTGTGTTGGCATAAATTGAAATAATCTGAAGAGAATTTGGACTCTCTTTTCTGAGGATTCAAAGGATTAAAAAACTATGGCATGTATCAGTGAATTATATGAAATTTTGTGACAGATGACTTATATACAAACTAAACCATTTTTATAGTTGCCTGTCAACAGCTATAGAAATTGTTCCCGAGTTAATTATCCTTCCTGTCCTGTTCACTTTCAATCATCATGAAGCTGTGTCTGCTACAGGACCTAGTCATGTTGTGCTGCAATGCTGAGGAGGGTCTCAGCATTGCAAAGTCACTTCAGAGGCCCTCTGGGTCTCTTAACCAGAGACCTGACTGCCTCAGACAACCACCTGCCTCCTGCATCTATAGCCCACAAGTGAATCTGCTCTTCCTTGCTCTGCTCACGTCAAAACTGCTCTACACTAAGAATGTACATGGTCCCCTGGGGGCTTTGCTGTTTTCTTGCTGTGGATCTCCAAAAAGACATTTCTCTAACAGCAACAAAAACCAAAGCATGCAACTTGGGGTACAAAAGTATACTTTTACATCTTATCTGACTTCATTCTGTAAGCCAACATTCAGAAAAGAGTGTGGGATTATCTGTTTGACTCTGGTTTATAGTGTGGTGTTTTTCAAAATATTCCCTTTTGAGGACAGCAGCTCTGAAGGTTATATGGTATTAAAGAACCATAAGGCTGGGAAAATGCAGGATAAAGGGTCTTTGTGCAAGCTAGAAACAATGACAGCCTTATCATTTTGTATTTGAACACCTCAGGGAGGGCATAAGCAGAGTAGTTTCCACTAATAGGCATTTTTTTAGTTCTCTTTTGCAAGGCTTTACTTTTATACTTAAATTCCCACTACAAAGGCATCAAAACTAGAAGTAAGAAGAGTTTAAACACTTTTTGAGACACATAGAAAACTTACTTTTCACTTCTAAAAGTTCACTAGATCTTTTGAGGCACTCAGGTATGAAATTTTTCTCTTGTTATTTCTTAAGGGAATGTTTCTGGGATTTCACACTTCAACACATCAGTGGATTTCAGTGCAAACAGTTTATTGCTATTCATTTTTAACATTGCCAGCAGCCAAAGGTGATTCTTTTTTTTTCCAATTATCACAGCCGAAGTCAAACATGGTGCAAATGGCTTAGTGTTTCTTTTTTCCAGCTATTTCATCCATAAATTTTTTTTTTCAGAGCATTGCAATAGATTGAAATTTTGTTGTGTGCATGTCTTACCATGCGCTGCTGTGCTGACACCAGGCTGTCCCAGTCACTCTCTGGTGGCACGCTGCTGAGCGGCTGCATTTCATCTGGGGCTTTGCCATGGAGCAGACTGTGCAGGGGCAGCTGAGGTGTGCCGTGGGCCTCTGCGCTTTCATCTTTCTCCCAAGACAAGTGCTCCTGACTCATAGCATCGTCACCGTCAACCACAGACGCAAAAGGTGATGTGGCTTGCTTAGAAGACATGACTCTGCTGCAGGGCAACAAAACAAAAGTAGAGAAAAAGACATGAAATTCTGTCACTAACTCCAATTCCCGAATATCATAGTTCTTATGCGTGTTGCTGGTCTGTTCTGCATGTCATCGATCCTGATCCAGTTGAGTTCAGATGGATGACTTGATATTCATTTGGAATCGTGTGTCCTTTGGATCTGCCTTAAATTCTAACACAAAAGGTCAGACAATAAGTAGGCCTGCATCCCCATAAAAAGTGAAAAATCAGATTTTTTTAAAACAAATTTTCCAAGGTATTTTTAAAGGGACGATTTATTTTCTTACCTTTCTTTTTCATGCACTGACTAATTTTCCACTTGGTTTTGTCCTTCAAACATCTTTAATTTTCCTGGTTTGAGGTGATTTTACTTTGAAGCAATCAGACCCAAACAGCCAATTTTAAGAATAAAAGTACCCTTAAAAAAAAAAAAAAGCTGGGAACTATTCAAAATCTGGTGCGTGCTTTTATGAATGTCACAGTGAAAGACATACTTGACAAATCAGGTGGAAAGAAAACAAATTTTAATTCAAATTTCTGTCAGCTTTTCACAACCCAGCCTTTTTACTGTTTGAGTGTTTTTACTATTCACACAACCAGTTACCTTTTTTTTCATAATTGTTGAGGTCACACTCACGCTGCATGTTACAAAGAATGAGATTAAACACTGTGCAAGAAAATCTAATTATGCATTTGACAATCAATTAAAAAGGGAATAATGTGGCCTTCCTGTGTTATGAAGTGCAGAAAGGAAGCTGGGGAATATTTAGTTTTTGATCATTTAATTCTCTTGTTTTATTTATTTATTTATTTATTTTCAGTTGCAGAAAATATAGACCAATATAAACTATTCAAAACTCAATATTGTAATGTTAAGCAGACAGGTATTTTAATATTTGAGTGACACAGGAAGTGAAATATAGATTTAGTGGTATGAATTCATAGGTCTTTGTTTTAATGGTAATTTTCAAAGATACTTGAAATACTTTACATTTTGTCACATTACATCTATAAAGCCACATGGGATTTCAGGCGATTGACAAACAGAATTGTGCACAAGTATGATAAAATAATGAATGGCAATAAATGAATTACTTATGAAAATCTAAAAGGTATAGTCTGCAAATGTATTCTGACTCCTGAGTCAATTATTTCTAGAATCAACTTCTCCAGCAGTTACAGCAATAAATGTTGATGGTTTTGGGTATGACTAAGTATTTTTTTTTTGTGGTATTATTTCACTACAAAATATTCTCAAACAAATTTTCTTCAACAGTAACCTTGTATCTAGCTTTGTCCCTTTTTAAGCTACCTCTGGTAAGTTTTCCTGCTCTTAAAGCATGATGCTTCCACCACCATTTCTTATAGAGGGCATGGTTTTAGTTTTCCATCACACTCAGCAATTTGCATTTAAGAAAAAAACATTGTCAGTTTTATCAGACCAGAGCACCTTCTCACACATTTTCCCCAAATCTCTTTATGGCAAGCAGAAAACATGCTCTGCAGCTACACAATCATCTGTTACATTCTATTGGACTTTCACAAAAACATGGCAATTAAACTCATCGATGTTAGAGATTACTACATGACACGATGTAAAAAAGCTCAAGGGGAACTAGCATATTTGCAATACCCTACTCGTCATAAAACCAAGTATTTCTCATGATAAACTTCATCACTGATCACCATCTGCCCTGTTCTCCTGCTCTATCCACAGGGGTCAGTGTGACAGCACTTTACTTCCACTCTTAACTTACTAGTAGAGCATAGGGAGGGGTGTGTAGAGGGGACACTCAAGGCTGAAGCAGAGCATGGTGCTGTGGTGTCCTTGCACTCTCTGCTGAAAGCCACGCATGACAAGACAAGCAAAGATATGCTCTATGTAAGAACTGATATTTTACCAATAAGGTCTTAAGGTCTGATGGTTCTTGGTTTTACTCACTGACTCTTTCATGTATGCCCACATTAAGAGGAATTACTATCATAATTTGTTTGCATGCCAATGGGCTGAAAACATGTAATGGCCTGAAAAGCAAACAAGAAACTAGAAGCAGAAGAATACAAATATTTCACAATGGAACAGGAATATCTGAAGTTCCCAAAGAAATTGTGTTTGGAGCCAACCTTTTTGACCTGCGCTCATCTCTGTCTCCCGTCTTTCTGCCTTCATGCTCAGAAGTGTTGTTGGCTGTATTTTTAATGGAACTTAGCCTTCAATTTTAATCAGCCATTAAATTGTTTCCTGCAATTATATTTGATCGAATCCCATCTCAAAACTGTGTGCTGTTAATTGAAAATCAAGAGTCAGAGCAAAGTTCAGCGCACGTGTTTAGCAGTAGGTGAAATGGGGGTTCACGTGTGTGAGTGGTGGGAGCGGGACGATCACGTAGAATCCAGCGTATTTTTTATTTATGCACCCAAAAAGCTTGAGCCTGAAGCGAAACAAGCACCTCGTCTTCAATGGAGTGTGAGCGCGAAACAAAGCACTGCTTTTGTATTACACAGTAAATCAAGTGGTATTATTTTACCACTAAAATATTCAGTCTCTGAGGCACTTTTACTTTGGTCTCCAGCCATCAGTCAAACTGCTGAGGCGTGAGCGAGGGAAGACGATAGACAGGGAGCAAAGAAGAGAGGGAGCAGTGGAGACTCCATGCTCCTGTAACATGTGTCTACAGCAATCTTGTTAAAGAATGCAACAGATCTGCAGCAGGCTCCATAACAGTATTTGTCAGCAGGAGTTAATAATTTATTAGCAGCGCTGGGAGGGCTGCGCTCAGGCAGCTAAAGAGTGGGGAGAAATCCTTCTGCCCCACCCCCATCTTCTGACAAGCCCCATACAATACTACCTCATATTATTGAAGAGGAAAAGGGGAAGAGTGGCAATGATTCTCTGAATATATCTGAGGGCAAGCGTACAGTATTTTCTTCCTCTTCTTTAGAGTGGGGATCACAAGACTCTGAGATCTAAAGGGGTACGTTTGCAGTAGATCGGTGCTGACACAAAAAAGTCTTCGGATGAGGTGCAGAAAAAGAAAAAGGGTAGGATTCATTTGAATGTGGTAAAGCATGTGGAAGCTGATCATATATTTTGATGGAATAGCTCTGTTATCTCTGTTGGCCTCCATGCATGCAAAAATAAAATTAGCAAAACAGCCCTGTTTGAACAACTGCACTGTATTCTTCAAATAGCCCCATATACATGAATTATTCAAATACAAAGGAAATAGGCTTACATGTTCACACTGTAGAACCAAAACTGTGTTCAGCTAATAAATTAGATTCAAATTATATTAAGCAATAGGCGCGACAATAAGCCTCGGTCACTTTGAAGACCTGTGGCAGCGATGAGACAGGGTCAGATAAAGAAGCAGCCTGGTCTAAATATAGCTGACAATATTGCGCACATTTGAAGGATTAGGACTTAAGTTCTCTAGCCACAGGCTCATGTGGCCTGGAATGCTTTGAGTCATGAATTGTTCCCCGAGATAATGTTTCATCATCGTGCAAAACAGCCTCTGCCTAATTGGTAAGTATTAGAGGGGTGCTGTGTGCCGCTCATCTCAGGGGTCTTGTGACTGCTGGGCCATGTGTCCCCAGCTATCCCATTTCCTCTTTCATCATAAAAGGGTCTGGCCTGCTTTCGCCTGCCGTATCTGCTCTTTCACACTGTTTACCTTTTATAGACAATGGTGATAAGTAACCCCACACCGAACCTCCTCCACCATCACTACTGCCCCCTCATCCCACCCACTTGTCTGGTCTAGTGCTGCCGTGGATCTTCGGGCTTTGATTGGGAAAAAAGGGGGTTTGCAAGTATAGAACAGAGACTAGAATAAATATATAAACAAATAAATAAATAAATTGCCAAAAGAAAATTGGACAGCAAAGGTGAATAACTGGAAATAAACAGCATAATTGTACAAAAATAAACATGTGTCCCAAATAATAGGACACAAAGAAGACAGAGATAATTTTTTTTTAAGTTATAAATTTTTTGTTCATTCAATTCAAAAAGCAGAACAAGCATTCAGGCAAAATAACAATTAAGATCCATTTAACTTGCAGCCAATCCCAAATGGATCAAATTAATTAGAGATAAAGTTGTGATTCAAAAAACTAAACTAAACTAAACAAAATGAACGATGCAGCCCATATAAACAGAGATAAATTAAGCGAAACTATCATCAGTGCAATTCTTTTGTCCCACTTCAAAAAAAACACATGAACATAATCTAAAAATATGTTTAGAAAACATATTCAGAAAGGTTTCTTTTGTTCTTTATTTACTCTGTTGATCTTTTTTTGAACATTAAGAAAATGTGCTTAAGTGGTTTTATAGAAACATGGATCCTTTTTATACTCTTCATAAACCAAGCTGAACACTTTCAATAAAACTAACAATAATTTTAAATCATTTTTACTGTCATGTAAGTAAAATCAAATTATAGGCAGAAACTAGTTCTGGGACTCTGTGTGTGTGTGTGTGTGCGTGTGCGTGAGTGAGAGAGAGAGACAGGGGGAAAAAAGTGGGAAAAAAAAGTCATCTATGTGTTTCCCTTCGGGGGTTCCTCGTGTTCTAACAGGTGTCATGGTTGGGTTCCTCTGGGTTCTTCACCTGCCATAATGAGATATAACTACCTGACAGCTCCCAGCTGGAGGAGCACTGACACAGAATCCACCGTTTAGCACAATTAAATTATCACCCTCCATTGTAATTGTGCCATGCTGTGCAGCAGCCAGGTTTCTTGGATACATAATCAGCCCTTAATGTGGGCCCTATATTGTGTGCGCTGTCTTCCATTCATGGAAATGTGCATGCTTGCACATACTTGCTTGTTGCATAATGCCTGCTGTTTTAAAACGAGCTGAATGAAAAGAAACATTTTTTTTTTTTCCGCCGGACAAAATACTTACATAAAGATATAAAAGTGTGGCTCAGAAATTGTTAATTTTCCCCTCCAACTGCCACACAGAGACAG